TTCTTTCTTTTAAAGAGATTTTGTTTATTTATTTGACAGAGAAAAAGCAAGGGAGAGAGAGAGCATGAGCAGGGGCAGGGGAAAAAGCAGACACCCCGGGGAGCAGGGAGCCCAACACAGGGCTTAACCCCAGGACCCTGGGATCATGACCTGAGCTGAAGGCAGCTGCTTAACCACCTGAGCCACCCAGGTGCCCCTCTCCAGGTGTTTGTTCTGCTCACCTAAATCAGCAGGCTGTGGATGCCAGTTCTCAGACCCCCCTCCTCTGTCCAGAAATGCATGGGACTGATGTGGACCAGATTGGTTTCTACTCCAAAGAATTTCCAGATTCAAGTCTGCCTCTCTCCTCTCCCTCTCGGCCTGATGTACTTGTGGAAGATGTGAAGTATAGACACTGTTAATACTCCAACCAGCCAAACTACTTGGGCTTAATGGTTAACTACGAGGCTTAACTATTTGTGGCAAAAATTGTTTACCTTTTCTGTCAGTTTTAGGAAAGAAGAATGTTCCAGAAATGGCTTTTTTGACCTTAGACAAATCTCATCACTTCTTTGACTCTCCAGAAGGGGCGCCATGATATCATTTTTTAAAAATGTGAAATGCCTCTCCAGCACTGAGTGCATGCTGTCTGGCTCCTAATCATTATTAACTTTCCCTTTAAGATGAGAAGACCCTTTAAGAGAGAAGCTTTGCTTTGTGCATCTTTATATCTCTCAGGTTACCCACTTACTGTTGTGGAATTCAGGAAGAATCATTCATCTTGTAGACATCATAGATTTATATAGTTAGTAAAGCAATTTTCCACAGATGTCAGGAGAGTGACTTGAGAAGCAAAGTCTTTTATTTATTCATGATAAAGACACCATGTTGGCTTGGATGGCACTCCCAGTGTGTAGGGTATTCAGCACATAGGAGATACTCAATAAATATCGCTAAATAATTTCCCTTAACATTTTAGTTATGAAAAAAAAAAACATTTTAGTTATGAAAATGTCAAGTATGCAGAAAGGTTGAAACTGAGCATCTATTTACCCTATCTAGATTCTAGATTCAGTAGGTGTGAATTTTTGCTATTTGTTTTGTGTGTGTTTGTATGTTTATTCTTATTTTATTTTTTAAAAGATTTTTATTTATTTAATCATGAGAGACACACACACAGAGAGAGGCAGAGGCACAGGCACAGCACAGGCAGAGGGAGAAGCAGGCTCCGCACAGGGAGCCCGACAGGTGACTCAATCCTGGGTCTCCAGGATCACGCCCTGAGCTGAAGGTGGCGTACACCGCTGAGCCACCAGAGCTGCCTGTATGTGTATTTTTGCTGAATCATTTGAAAGTTAATTGCAATCCTCGTGGCACTTAAGCCATAAATATTTCAGCAGGTATCTCCTAAGAATTAGGACATTCTCGTACATAACTACAATTCTATTATCACACCTAAGAATAATTAATCGTTATTTCTTAATATCCTTTAGAAATAGAAGTTGATATTGGTGCCCTGCTCACATGCCTTTGGCCTGCCTAGAGGTCACCTGCAAACAGTTCCCGTATAGCAAACCGGCGACTTCCTGAGAGTCAGGAATGTTCATAGCTGGATTAAAAGAGTGAACTCCACCCTCATAGGATGGACTGGAGATGCTGGGGAGTCAATACCTCAAGAGTGTTCCTTAACTTATGATGGAAAGAAGTTAATGGATAAATATCTAAGCTTCCTTCTCCTCATGAGTTGATTCTGAGGTGTGCTCCACAGAGCCTGTCAAAGGGTCCATAGGACAGTCACCCACAGCCCTAACTTGTTTATTAACATACCCTTTATTCGTTATCCTTTCCTTACTCATTTCCTTACTGTGCTCCCTGAGATCACCTTGAATTAAACTACTTGCAGCAAAAGCTTTTGTCTCAGAGTTAGCTCTCAAGGGACCCAGAACCAAGACATCAGTTCATTACTAAATTCATTTACAAATGATGATAGTAAAACACACTGCTCTTGGATTCACAAAGAAGCAAACTCGAACCTTCTTAGATGGTGCTTGCAACTCAACCACAGAAATGCCCTTAGCTACGATTCTTGCTGGAACGATATTATATGCTGAGGCTGTTTTTATTTATTATGCCTGCCCAGCCTGTATTATTAATAATAATAGCTAGTGCTAATTAAGAGCTTACTGTGTGGCTGCTTCACATACTTTATCTACTCCTCACAATGACTTTGTAGGGAGGATGTTATTATTTTTCCCACTGTCTTGACAAAGAACTTGAAGCTCATACAGGTTAAATACCTTGGTGAAGTCACACGACCACCAAGAGGCAGATCCCTGGTATGTGTCACCAACGTGTTAAAATGTGCAGATAACTCTAAATGTTCTTTTATTCTATTCTTGTATAAATGGGAACGGTACTAGCCACGTAACACAGTGTAACAATACCATAAACATACATATTTTTTAACCAATAAAAAAGTTATCTTCAATTGCTAATTTGTGAAAGTGTAACACAAGGATTCCCTCACAAGACATGAGTCTCAAAGGGATAAAACTTTTCTTTGTCGTGCTTGGCTCAGTACAGCTTATGCACCAGGCATAGGTTACCAGTGGCAAGTAATATGTTTCCAGCATTATTTAAGTTGTGGAATCCTCCAGTATTTTGGCGGCCATGTTCAAGTTAGATAACTTTGATAATCTGACATCCTGAGAATGGTAACAGGGCGAGCCTGAGGAGAGGGTTGATTTTCACAGCTGCCAATATAAAGCCCGGTGCATTATCTAACTTGGACATGGCAATGTTCTGTGAAATGTGCCACACAGTTTTGCACAAGGTCAGGTTTTCCTGGAATAATTACATCCTTAGTAATATCTGGTCCCACCTGGTAATTTGGGTACACATGAAAACTTAGAGTTGAAGATGTCTTTCCTAGTTAGTGTCTTCTCTAAGAATCCATAAAAAGAAAGAGACTTTGAACCCAATTTATTTTGTTTGCTTGACCCTACTGTCATAAAGTGTTTAAACGTAAGTATTATAAAGATGGTACAGGGAAAGGATTTGGGGTTCCAGATGAAGGAACGATTGGCCAAAGAAGTCAGCTTTTCAGAACTCGGCGGGTAAGCAGTAAAACTTTGTCTTGTGTGAAGAGTAGAGAGTTGTGAAAATTTAGAACAAGCCAAGTAAGGGAAATTCATTTTTAAAAGATGCTGGCTGGTGTGGTGGAAGGGGAGGGGAGATGTTAATCCTTCTCCTTAATTACTAGGGTAGGGCAGGGTCTGCCAAGGAGCCCATACACTTACTCAGTTCTTATTCGGCACCTTCGGTGGTCAGTGCTTGAGAAAACTCTACAAATGACCAAATTCTGAGGTCATCACCATTGGAGTGCCTTGATAGAAATCTTTTTGGCAAAGTTTTAAAATTACAAAAAGAATTGATGTTGGTACTATCTACATTTTGTGGAAATATTGATGTAAGTTTACCAGTCAGAAAGGGTGAGTCTGGCAGGAGTGAAGCTTGCTCCTGTCAGGACAGGCTTGGGATGGGGAGGAGCAGAGCTTGTCTACAGAAGTCCTAGGGATGTTTCAGCTCTTGAATGTTAATATTTATATTAAAGGGACAAAACTCCATGTCCCCCTGTGGAGAGGCCAGGGCTCAGAAGGGATTAACGGCAGCTGCTGCTTCTTCTTTAATTCATGAGAGACACACAGAGAGAGGCAGAGACTTAGCAGAGGGAGAAACAGGATCCCTATGAACAGGACTCGATCCCAGGACCTTGGGATCATGACCTGAGCTGAAGGCAGATGCTCAACTGCTGAGCCACCCAGGTGCCCCTAACAGCAGCTTCTTAATGGAGAAGAATATCAGTGGATGCAATGGGATGGTTAAGAGTCTGGCCTTGGGAGTCTGGGGTTTGAATCCTAGCCCTGACATTTACTGCCTTTGGGATCTTGGGCAAATTATGTAATCTCTCCAAACATTTAGAAATGACCTCAAGAGGGTTGCTAGGGACTTCATGGGGATTGAAAGAATGTATGTAAAGGGTTTAGCACAGTGCCTGTTGCATAGGAATCATTCAGCTTGTGTTTCTACCATATTCATAGCGGTACTCTTGAAAGGAGGTCAACGAATGCATGTTTTTCCCAGATGAAGTGGAAAGTATCTAGGGAGGCAGATGACAGAAGCAAAAACATAGCAGGAAAAAAAGGAGGACTTTATTATCTATTATTTTTAGTTTACACTGAGTTAAAGGGAACACATATAAGAGGGGGATGATGGTGGTGGGAGGGGAGAAAGCAGAGAGATTAACTTGGTTTAAGACTAGAGACCATACTGCAACTGAGTCTTTTCTAAGTTATGAACCATTTGAGTCTATGGGATTTGGAAGGGGTCTCAAAAACTCTCTTTAGCAGTGAGCAACTTTTACAAAACGACCCAAGAGAGGCTTTCTTTTTTTTTTTTCTTTTTAAGATTTTTATTTATTTATTCATGAGAGACACAGAGAGAGGGAGAGAAACAGAGACACAGGCAGAGGGAGAAGCAGGCTCCATGCAAGGAATCCGATATGGGATTCGATCCTGGGACTCCAGGATCACGCCCTGGGCCGAAGGCAGGCACTAAACCACTGAGCCACCAAGGGATCCCTAAGAGGGGCTTTCAAAACCAGAATTACTACAGTTCAGTAGAGACTGTCTGTGAATGAAGCAAGTTTATTTTCTCTTTCTGTTAAAATGACATTCTATCCATTTCTCCAGGGAAGACTGGTTCTACCCTCCCCAGGGCTTCCCCATGGCTGCCCTATATCTTATAGCCTATAACTTTGTGGTTTTCATTTTCTTGCCTTAAAAAAATCTTTAATACTGAAGGTACTTTGAACTCAGTAATCAGAGCAAGATTGTTTAATTAAAAACTAGAAAAAGTACTGTTACAGCTGGGATGACTCATCTGGGATTTTATTTTAATGCAAGATAGACAAGAGGAAGGTTCATAAACTCAGTGTAGACCAAAGTTCAGAACCAACTACACCCTTTTTTCCCCAGCAGATCAGAAGTAAATTTGTTAAAGATGGCGTGGAACATCAGGGAACTAATGAAAATGTGCAGATTTCTTCTCTTAGCGATTTTGTTTCTTCCACGTGAGGTGACAAGTAAGTTAATAATATTCCTTTGGTCTCTTTGTAAATAAAGAAAAATTTCCAATTAAAACATGATCAGTTGGCTCTGGGAAATCCAAAATCCAAATCACCAGATACACAGTTGGTATGGCTCAGAGAACGGGAGTCAGACAACATGATAAAATGTTAAATGGAAAAATTGTTTATGGCTCTGATATGGCAAGGTAGAGTAAATATTCTGTTATCTCCAGAGCTGCAGCCAAAATTTTTCTACTTTTTAAAACATTTTTTTTTACTTTTTAATGCATTTCATTACTTTTTTTTTTAAAGATTTACTTATTTATTTATCCATGATAGACAGAGAGAGAGAGAGAGGCAGAGACACAGGCTCCATGCCGGGAGCCCAACATGGGACTCGATCCCAGGACTTCAGGATCGCGCCCTGGGCCAAAGGCAGGCGCCGAACCGCTGAGCCACCCAGGGATCCCAATGCATTTCATTACTAATGACATCCAAAATAAGTTCTTTTTTTTTTTTTTTTTTTAAATATTTTTTCTTTATTTATTTATGATAGTCACACAGAGACAGAGAGAGAGAGAGAGGCAGAGACACAGGCAGAGGGAGAAGCAGGCTCCATCCACCGGGAGCCTGACGTGGGATTCGATCCCGGGTCTCCAGGATCGCGCCCTGGGCCAAAGGCAGGCGCCAAACCGCTGCGCCACCCAGGGATCCCCCCAAAATAAGTTCTAATGTCTATTTGAGCATACTGCTTCAGGAAAATCTTCCCTGCATTTGTTCTCCACCCCACCCTGGAAGTAGATCCCTCCAAACCCCAATTTTAAAAGTAATACGTAGTCATTGTAAAAAAAAAAAGAGGGGGGATATATAAAAGAATAAAGAAAGTGTGCCTAGGTGGCTCAGTTGGTTGAGTGTCTGACTCTTAATTTCATGGGATGGGCCTGTGTCAGGCTCCAGGTCAGCAGGGAGTCTGCTTGGAATTCTCTCTCTCTCCCTCTTTCTCTCCCCTCTCTACCCTGCACGCATGTGCACATGTCATGTTCTCTCTCTCTCTCTCTCGATCCTTCTCTTAAAAATTTAAAATCTTTAATAAAAAAAAAGAATGAAGAAAACCAAATCCCATCATCCAGAGATAATCACTCAACAACATTTTGATATATATTCTTCCAGATTTTTGAAAAATACTAGGCAGCAATCACATAGTTTTCACCAGTACTTTGTGCATTTTAAAGGAAAAGTTCATGTGTTTACAGACTGTATTAACAAATGTTCTGTAGAAAACAAGTCTGTGGCAGCTAATGTCATTTTTAGCTGTGGTTACTTGGTCCTGAACCAAGAAAGTAAGAACTGAAATTCAGATGTGTTACAGTGAATGGATTTCTGGAAATCAGAGATGAAAACCAACTGCTATACATCCTGATTATCCTTCCACCACAACTCGACTACCCTCAAACCATAACTATTTAAACTTCAATTATTTTACTGCACTGCCCAAATAAGACACAAGAAGTGCAGAACCAAAATTTCCACAATCCTGTCACACTTAATCAGAAAGCTTTTCAAAATGGCTTCTGCCCATATTCAATTGTATGTTCAATTTTTATATATTTATAGTAATTATTATAGATGTACTTTACATTATACCTATTCTCCTAAAGTTGTATCTTAAGTATGTTTCAATTTTACTATAGTCCTTTTTCATTTGTATTTTCCTCTCCCACCCCCTCCCTTTGTTACTTTCAACTCCCTTTGCTACTTTCACATAAACAATTTAAGTCTGGAAAGGTTTTTTTTTTTTTTTTTTACTTTTTTCTCTATTTTTATCAATCCTATTCAGTATACACAGTGAGATTTTCCCCAAGATTTTTCCTCATAAATGCATGCATGTGTGCATGCATGTGTGTGTATGTGTGTATAAATGGGATAGTTCTGTGCATAGTAGTTCTGAAACTTCACTGCACATTAGAATCGCCTGAAGGCTTTTTGCAAATGCAATGCCCAGATTGCACTCATATCAATAAATCATAGTGTCTGAGGGTGGAAATCAAGCATCAATATGCTTTTAAAGATTCCCCAAGTGATTCCAACGTGCAGCAAAATCTGGTAACCATCATTTTAACATTTTCCTTTTTTTAAGTTAATAATACATTCTGAAGCTTTTCCCTTGTAAAATTGTATAGATCACTATGACTTTTTAATTATTGTAGAGTAGTTCATTGTACTGGTGTAATGTGATTTATTTAACAAATCCCCTGTTTATGCCACTTAGATCATTCATTTTGTGTTAATGGTTTCTTCCTGCCCTCCCAGGTTCTGTTCTAACTGTGAATGATAGAACTGAGAACTATATCTTGGACACTTGGCTCGGCTCCCAAGAATCTCTGAAATGTGCTGTTCAAAACCACACCAGAGAGGAAGAACTTCTCTGGTACCGAGAAGAGGGGACAGTGGATTTGAAATCTGGAAACAAAATCAATTCCAGCTCTGTGTGTGTCTCCTCCATCAGTGAAGATGACAACGGAGTCACCTTTACCTGCAAACTGCAGAGAAATCAGTCGGTGTCCATTTCCGTGGTGCTGAATGTCATTTGTGAGTGAGGGGGGAGAAACTGCTAGTCAGTCTGTGCTGTCTGCCCTATATTAAGTGGTATTTGAAATTTGGGACTAATGAGTGTGTGTATTTTAACATTTGTTTGGTGTTGCCTAATTGCCCTATTTATGCTCCTGCAACAATGCATGAGGGTGCCTATTTCCCCACACCCTCGTGAGCACTGAGTACCCTCAAACTCTAAGAACTTGCCAGCCTGATTTGAAATTTTATTTTCATTTTCCAAATTAAGAATGAGGGTGTCCACCCTTTCATAAGTGTATTGGCTGTTATGTTTCTTTTCTGTGAAATGCCTGCTCATGTCCTTTGCCCATTTTTTCTATTGGGTTATTTACCTTTTTAAAATTGGTTTGGCTAGGGGTTTCTGGGTGGCTCAGTTGGTTAAGTGACTGACTCTTGATTTTGGCTCAGGTTGTGATCTCAGGATTGTGAGATTGAGCCTCCCAATGAGCCCTGCTAAGAACTCTGTGTTGAGCCCCATGGGGAGCCCTGTGTGGGGCTCTGTGCTGGGTGTGGAGCCTACTTAAGATTCTCTCTCTCCTCCTTCTACCCTTCCACCCCCTCACCCTGAAGAAAAAAAAAAAAGAATGCCCATGAAGTAAAATGATTAAAGTGTCCTATATTACACTGTAGCGCTCTAATTTTTTTAAATTTTTATTTCTTTATGATAGTCACAGAGAGAGAGAGAGGCAGAGACACAGGCAGAGGGAGAAGCAGGCTCCATGCACCGGGAGCCCGATGTGGGATTCGATCCCGGGTCTCCAGGATCGCGCCCTGGGCCAAAGGCAGGCGCTAAACCACTGCGCCACCCAGGGATCCCCCACTGTAGCATTCTAAAACAATGAGCTAGGTCTCTATGGTTCAATGTGGATATATCTCGAAAAGATACAAGCTATTGAGAGAATAAAGTCTTTTATGTAACCCTTCTAAAACAATATGATGTATTTCCTATTGGTACATTATATGTATAAAAATGGTTTTTAAAAAAAGATATGAGAAAAAAAAGATCTGCAAGGATTTACATCAAACTCATAGCAGTGGATATCTTTGGGGAGCTAGAAAGTGAACAAGATGGAATCAAAGACGACCTTAACTATCTGAAATGTACTAATTTTTGCAAAAAAGAATACTTATGTATAGTTGATAGACTTCAAAATTAATTTTAAATAGTTAAATAAAAAGGAACAACTAATAGGGCATGTCCACAGGTCCTATGATATATTTGGTAATAGTGTTATCTATTCTAGCAGCTTCCTACATATCTGAATACCATGTAACTTTCTTGTTGGATATGGATACAGAATTTCAAGCTCATTCCAAAGAGCAACAAAATGTCATTCTTCAGAAAGAGTTATTAATAGCACAGCCTACTCATGGTCTAATTATTCAGTGCACAGATTATACAAGCTTCCTTTTTCCTCTTCTCCACCTCTATCTCTTTCCTACTACCCACTTTTCAAGCACTTTATTAATCTTCAGCACCTTGACCAGAAAAGCAAGGGGCATGGAGAAGAGAAAGAGCTCAGCCATTTCTCCCCTTGGATGTTGGAAAGCCATGTGGGGGTGAGGGCTGGAATTATTTGGTGAGGATAAATGTGTTCAAGTATCTATGTCTCAATGACTGCTCTTATCATAGAGGGACTAAGGACTTGCTTTAACAGAGGAATGAGAGAGACTCAGAAGATCATACTTTCCATGGATGTCAGAGTTGCCACCATTGGAACACCTTCTGGGAGGAGATTATTTCTAGAGATCACTGAGGAAATGCAAATAGGTACTGGTAAATGTAGCCAGGGCAAATGTGGTTAGATGAAATGCAAAAACAGAGGATGTGAGGACACCACAAAACCACCGTGGCCACTGCCACCACCACCACAATAATGGTTATTAGCACTGTGGTAAATTCTTTGCAGGCATTATGTCATTTAATCTTTACAACCCCTTGTGAGGTAGGTAATATCCCACTTTTCTAGATGAGGAAACTGAGCAGTTACATAGCAGTTAAGTAACTTTCCCAAGGTCAGAGTAAGTGGCATGGATGGAATTACCAATAACTGCAATTTCTGCTTTCTTCATATTATACTCTTTTCTCCAACATATTAGTAGAGATGGGTTTCAGAGAGCAAAGACTCAAGGCTTATACTTTTAGGTAGTGTTATAAATTGTCTACTTGGTACAGATTCATTATTTTAAAGAAAGATTTATTTATTTGAGAGGCAGAGAGTGCTCATGCGTGGAAGTGGGAGGAGGGGCAGAGGGAGAGAATCTTCAGGCAGACTCCTCCCTGAGCGTGGAGCCCAAACAGGGTTGGATCCCACCACCCTGAGATCATGACCAGAGCTGAAACCAAGAGTTGGACACTTAACTGACTGAGCCACTCAGGCACCCCCAGATTCATTATTATATACATTTGTTTCATGGTTTATCTTCTCTACCACATAAAAGTTCTATGAGGTTTGGAACTGGATGTATATAATTTACCATTGTATCCCCAGTTCCTAGTCCAACACTTGGCACAGAGTAGATGCTCAACAAATTTTTTAAAAATTATTTATTTATTCACGAGAGACTCAGAGAGAGAGAGGCAGAGACATAGGCAGAGGGAGAAGCAGGCTTTCTGCGGGGATACCAATGTGGGGCTTGATCCTAGGGCCCTGGGATCATGATCTGAGCTGAAGGCAGACCCTCAACCACTGAGCCACCCAGGTGCCCTTCAATAAATTTTTGTCAAATTAATGAATTACTCCATGAGATGGACTGAAGGGAAATCTTGAACACTGATAGTAAATTACTGCTTATCTGCTAATTCAACCTAAATGCTTGAGTCTTGCAGTTCCTCCTATTCTAAGTGGAGACGACTTCCAAACAGTTGAGGAAGGCAGTGATGTGAAGTTGGTTTGCAATGTGAGATCCAACCCCCAGGCTCAAATGATGTGGCACAAAAATAGTGATATCCTGAATTTAGAGAAAAATCACCAAGTCCACCAGACAAGTGAGTCTCTTCAACTGTCAATCACCAAAGTCAAGAAATCTGACAATGGAACCTACAGCTGTGTTGCAAATTCATCTCTGCAAATGGAGACCAAGGACTTTCACCTCATCGTCAAAGGTAACTCTCTCTCTCTCTCTCTGGTAACTCTCTTTTTAAGTAATGGTAACTCGCAAAAAGTCAGAATAGGTTTTCATAAATGTTTTTGTGGCAATTAATGATGATGACAGTTGTGATTAGTAGCTATGATTTTCTTTAGTGAGTCATCCCTATCCAAGGAATTTCCACTAAGAATTCCAAATCTTCCATTTGGGGTGCCCATTCCATATGAAACACTCCTTTTTGAGCAAAGGTCCTTTTTAGAACCAAGTGGGGGAAGACAATTCTGGTCAGCATTTAGGGAAGAGTACTTTTCATGAATTCTCCTGGGCAACAAGGTTCGTTGGAACTGGACTTTTGAGTTTACAGCCAATGACAACCAGAAAGAGAAGTCAGAAACACCAAGAGAAAGATAAATAGATAAGAAAATGAATCTCTAAAATTATTCTTATCCCTGAAATTGTAATCTATAGGCTAAGCAGTAAGGAGGGAGGGGCAAGATGGTTCCTGAAAGGTCTTTCTCTTGGCTTCATGCTTCATCTACCCAGATTCTTCACACCTGCAATTAATAACAGGGAACAAATGAAGTTCCAAGTGTTCTTCCCTCCTCATATTTCTCATTCATACAAGAAGAGAAAGGGGACCTGAGCAGAGAAAGCAAGGAAGACGGTAGAAAGAAATGAGGTCAGAGAGCAAACGGAATGCAGACCAGTGTTCCCCCACCTCCACGTACCACTGGTGATTGTGGCAAAAATTGACCTTGAGGTGAGCAGCATGAAAAGAAACTCTCAAGAATGCAGCTTGATGACTGAAATAGGAACAACCATCTTGGTACAAGGATAAAGAAAGCCGCAGTCTAAGCACAGCACAGAAGACCCGTAGAGGATGTTGAGTCTTGAGGGCTTTTTTAGGCAGTGCCCCAGCCCTGGAAATTTTCGGGTGTTGAAACAAGCAGGACAGTGTGAGATAGAAATTGGCAGTAGTCAAGGCTGTCAATCATTCTTTGCTGCTATTAACTGAATCCAAGTTCAAAAATAACTTGTTTTTTTGATACAGATTCTGAAAGTTTGATTAAAGTAGTCAAGTTTTCTTAGATAACATCTCTTCTAATTTGAAAAAAACATTTATTAAGACCCTTAACTGTCAATTTTAGTTGCTGAATATACAGGCATACTAAAAAAATCGTTAAAGTTTGCTTTCATGTTAAAACTTCAATTATGAAGTTGAGAGACATATTAGATGATGTCATCTGCAAGCTAAGTTAATTTTCTGATTAGAAAATTTGGGGCACCTGGGTGGCTCCGTGGGTTAAGCTTCTGCCTTTGGTTTGGGTTGTGATCTTGGGGTCCTGGGATCTAGCCCCGTGTTAGGCTCTCTGCTCAGTGGGGAGTCTGCTTCTCCTTCTCCCTCTGTGCTCTCTCTCTCTCTCTCTCTCTCAAATAAATAATAAAATCTTAAAAAAAAAGAAAGCCTCGGTTTGGGTACATTTAATAAGTTCCTTCTTGTTCTAATTGGATCATATGGATCAGTTGAAACAGAATTTTATTTTTCTGAAAAAATCAAAAAAGAGAAAGGCAAGATACCTGGCATAGCAGATGCAGAAAATGCTCATGCACACATTTCCTGGTCCAAGGCCAATATGCTCAGAGCAGCCAAACAAGCTGAGGCTCTTCTTTCTTGTTAGAATATTATTCACTTTGTTGTTTGCTTCCCTGTGCCCACTCATTGCCTTTCTTGCTAGTTCCTAGGAAGCCAACTGAACCCCTGCCAGAAGTGTTGGACTATGTGACCACTGAGCTTATTTCCTCCCCCTTCGGGGAGATCTGGGACACAAACACAGTGGCTGGTGGGGAGGAAGAGCCACTGCAGTTCAATGCCCATTACTGTGATTACTGGCGTGTTCAGTAATTTGTCCTGCAGAGTGACAGTATGCCCAGGGGCCGCTTGCTTTAAAAACCAAAGCCACAAATAACCCAAGTACTCCTAGGATAGAAGGGGTAGAAGAGGCAGCTTATTGAAGCTGAGGCTATTCACCTCTCCACAAAAGCATGGCTGGTAGGGACACCTAGCCGTGTCATTCTTTTGTGTGTGTGTGTTTTTTTAAAGATTTTGTTTATTTATTCATGAGAGAGAGAGGACAGAGGCAGAGGGAGAAGCAGGCTTCCTGCGGGGAGGCTGATGCAGGACTTGATCCCAGGACACCGGGATCATGACCTGAACCAAAGGCAGACACTCAACCAATGAGCCACCCAGGAGTCCCCTGGCCCTGTCATTCTAACCGGCTGTAAAATTACATGCAGAGATTAGGGAATTATATCATCCTTCTTGGTTACGAAGGAATCACAAGGGCTCCATGATATAAAAAAAATATATATATACACAACTCATATGGCAAGCTGGATGCCAGTTTGGCAAATTGGCTTTCAAGTGGGCAGGATCCTGTTTTGGGTGGAGCTCTTCCAAACCAACTTGTTTTTATTTCTTCCTGCTCTATTATTTTCTTGGCTGTGGGCTGCCTTCACAGCTTTAAGTGCTCTGCTGCTGGTGCTCAGGCTAAATATGTTTGCCATGAACCTCTCCGGGCTTCATAGCTCAGTAGAGTAGTTTCTAAATGAGGCCACACAAAGCTAGAAGTGAAAGCACAGATCTTGAGCACAAGCGTTTATCCTATGTGTTGGGATTATCTTGCCTAATAAATATGAAGGGAAAAAAATACCAAATCTGGTTACCAATAAGAGAGTAAAACTTGGGTAGGTATTATTGGGTTGTCTGAAGGATTTAATTAAGAGGATGATATATGTGAAGTGCAAGGCATCATGGCTGGGACATAGAAGTACGTAAATTATACTCGTGTAAATGTTAGTTGCTATTCCTTGTGTTTGCATTTCCAACAGATAGAGCTGTGACTGTGCCAAAAGAACCCATTATTGCCGCATGTATTGTGGTCTTTCTGACATTGTGCTTTGGACTGATTGCTAGAAGAAAAAAAATAATGAAGGTATCTAAATATTCTAAGCTATTGAGGTATAAATTCATCTAAATCCAGTCAGGAAGCTGGCTATCTAAATGACTATAGAGTTGGGAACCATACTTGGACAATCTGGTCTCTCCAAAGACCAAAATGGAAGTAGCTCAAAGGAATAAAATGGTACACATACGATGAGTACAGCTTTAGCAAAGAATGGAAATACATATGGACAAAACCTGTATGAAAATAGCTGTGGTGTTAGGAATAGGGGATTTGGGGCTGATTTTTCTTTCTTTTAAATTTCCCTTTATTGTTGCTATGGTACCTTTGGTACAATAAATAAACATACAGAGAAACATCTACTGTGGATTCAGAGATCTGCATGAAAAAAGTGACACTGAACAGCAGTTCACCTCTGAGTATAGCCACAGTCCCTGGTAGTAATGAGCTAAAGTTTGAATTGTTGAAGGGTTAACCTTGTCCGTTAGCTTGATGCCAAGTATGTGTATGCATAGGTTAATGCCATGCATTTGGCTCCACCCAGTGCCAAAGGGAGGCAAATGTGGCAGAAAGCCTCTAAGGAAAGACCTGTATGATCTAGGCTGTTAGTTATGCAGCAAGAGGTGTTCTTCTTGAAACATATGGTAACTGGGTGTGATTCAGGGGAACAACATCTCCCAAGAAGAAATTCACCTACCCCCTGGTGCCAATCCAAAGCAAATTTTTTTCCTGGGAAAAGAAAAAGGAAGAAAGGAAGAAAAGGAAAGGAAAAAAGAAATATTCAACTACCTAAGAATCCTGGAAGAATTTTGGTTTAAGAATTACATCTCTGTAGGATCAGTAGAAATAATTAGTATGGCCAAAGACATAAGACCTGCACCAGTGCAGAGGTTCTATATTTCCAGCCACCTCTGTATTGATGAGTACTTTTCTTGGTAGGAGATTAACAGACATTTGGGCTTTCTATCCCTTGAGCCACATTGATGCATTCAAAATGTTTATCTACAGCCTTAGAAAAGCAGGCAAACTCATTGCCCCTGTGTTTGCTTTTAGCTCTGCATAAAGAATGAAGATCCTCAAAGAGAAACCGCTTTGTAAGCACTCTGGGCTGGGGCCAATGATTTTCCATGAGCAGACAGGTAACAGTGGTGTGTGTCATAAAGCCCATCCTGGGCAAATCCTCCTGAGATGGGAGGCGCTGGGAGGTGAAGAGGTTCAGATTAGAATGGAGGGTGGAGGAGAATCTGCCTCTACTTTAGAAGAAGACAGGTGAGGCTCCATTGGAAGGTTGCCTAGAACTGAGAATACTACCCTTGCTCTTAAGCCTGTTGTCCACTTAGGAAGTTCTGGGCTACTGTCCAGCTCCTGCATTGTATAGCTACATAATGTAAATGACTGAGAGGGCTGACCCTGAGGGAAGCCATGCTGCTTCTCCTTCACAACGACGTCGGAAGCCACAGTCCTCATTCTGAACAATGTCTTCTCTGTGGGGCTTCCTTTTACTCTGTTGGCTCCAGCCTTGGAGAAGTAAGCAGTCAGTAAAAAGAACGAAGGCATTCTTTCCGAGAGTGTGGATTTTGTTTCGAATTTTTTTTCTTATTGCCATGATCATCATTATAATTGATTTCTTGGTTCATTTCAGATGAGAAAGCTGAGATGCCATCCAACACAACAAGAGTTTTGCATCAGGACTTCCTTGATTTAATGTAGTCCCATCTGTATTTATCGCTATTATTAAATTCACTCCTGTCAAATTGTCAGAGGTTATGAAGAAGTGTTTCATTAGGCACTTAACAGTAGCTGTGATGACTAATTTGATATTCTTGCAGAACATATTTATGGAGAAAACTATTAAGAAGGAAAAGTAAGATTCTGTTGTCTTCTCCTTGAAGCATATGTTATTTAATGGAGGTTTGCTCCAAAAAGCTTGGTCACCGTTTACCATTTAGTATGTATTTTTCTAGGTAGGAAATGGACGGACATTTGGGTTTCATGAATAAGTGCAATACCAGAATGGAAAGGAGAGCTGAACATAGAGTGATCAATTTTTAAGTTGCCAAAGAAGTACATAAATAATATCAATTATCATCTACTTTCACTGTCGTCTCATAAATGAAATGTTTTAGGACTAAAAAAAGGAAGGATATAATCTCAGAATATAAGGCATTCCTTTAAACAGAATAAATTTAGCATTATGAAAAAGTCAGCATATGTCCTTATTTTTCTCATCTCATCCTGGTTTGGTGACACAGTCGCTGACTTTGTAAGCTCTATGTGGGGATGGAGATGAAAACTGCCGGGGACATGGGCTAGCCAACGGCTCTGCCCACAAAGCAGCCTTTGCCCTTTTGGCACAGTTTGCCTAGATCCAGCAACATTAATTATGAATCAGCCTATACTCTTCTCGTATACCTCTGTTTTAAATTGCAGCTCTTCTGATTTATCATCAACCTTCACTACTTCCATTATTTCTTCATTCTCTTTCCCTGAGAATCTCTGCTTTGCTGTCCCACACAGTGGGATGGGTTAGGAGAAGAGGCCCCCTTGGTCAGAACCACCTTTGATATCTGCTGTGCTCACCCTCTAACTTAGGGGGAAAAAAACAGAATTTTTGGTCTAATATTGCAGTAGCTAAATGTGCCACAGCAAGAGAGAAAGCAAGAGATCTGCTATCAGCCAAGTGGTTAAAAGTTTCTCACTGACACGGAAGCAGAGAGGAAATGAGCAGATTGTATGAAATCCCAACAGTCTTGTGTGTAAGAGGGACCCAGACACATCCTCCTTGTTAGGCTTCTCTCTGCTTCCTTGGAACCTTCTGCATGGAATGGAGAGACCATTAAAGACTGGGACTTACAGGTTTTTCAGTCTTCCTGGAGGCCCCAGCAGGTTTTTGTGGGGAAGCCTTCAGATCTTGCTCCTCATTCAGGATTTCTCAAAATAGAATTTGGAAGCCTTGTGAAAACAGTGTAAGAACAAAGTAGGAGGATTGTGAAAATCTGAAAGTTTAGACAATTAAGGAGAAGTCCAGAGACTACATGGAAAAAACTAGATCTCAGGCAATGATTGGGATAGTTTAAAGTGGAATGGGAAATGGGAAAAACCCATTAAATTGGTCTTGGAATCAGGAGACCCGAATTCCAGTCTTACCTGTGTTACCTTGGGCAAGTCCTTTAAGCTCTCTTGGGCCTTTGGAAAATAAGGAGGTTGAATTAGAAGAAGGATTAAGATTAATTTTCATGTTAAATTTCATGTTAATGCATGTGATGCTCAAAAGATTCCCAAATAGTTTAGTTAAATGCTGAAAGGAGTTGGCAAGAAAAATGAAAACGTAATACCTTTGCCCTACCTAGTAGAATTATGAATCAGCTTTGTTCTAGGACATATGGCAATCCTTAAGTATTACAGGTCATCAGTAGAGAATTTCTTCACCCTTATAAACTACTGTGACCTTGTACATTAGCACAGACAAGGGACATTAAGTGGTTTTAACAAAGCATGGCAATATCATAAACGGTCACTGCATTTCATTTTGCTTTGCTTTTGAAAAAAACACAGAACCTTTATTAAAAATTGTGTCTGGGGGATCCCTGGGTGGCTCAGCGGTTTGGCACCTGCCTTTGGCCCAGGGAACAATCCTGGAGTCCTGGGATCGAGTCCCAAATCAGGCTCCCAGCATGGAGCTTGCTTCTTTGTCCTCCTGTGTCTCTGCCTCTCTCTCTCTGTGTCTGTGTGTGTGTGTGTGTGTCTATCATAAATAAATAAATAAATAAATAAATAAATAAATAAATATTTAAAAAAATAAAAATAAAAATTGTGTCTATTATTATTATTATTATTATTGAGAGGGATGAGGGGCAGAAGGAGAGGGAGAAAAAGAATCCACACCCAGCACAGAGCCTGAGGTGGGGCTGGATCTTATGAGCCTGAGATCATGAGCTGAGCTAGAATCAAGAGTTGGACATTTAGTCAACTGGGCCCCCCAAGCAGCCCCAAACTCTGTCTCTTATTTAAAATGAGAAGTTCAGCCTAGAACCTGACTTAAAAGGACATGAAATTCTAGAACTTAAAAGAAGCCCCCATAACCTTTCCCTAAGTGTCTTCTCTATCTACCATAAGCTACTTGAAATTTCAACATTAATAGTCTGTTTTTGACAAATACCAGTGGAGAAGTGACAGACAAAGCCAGTTGCTATCTTCTCCACCTTTCTATCAATAGAGGTACCTTTTACAATAATTATTTTTCTCCGTCTAGGGTCCCATTTTTTGAAAAAGACAAAACAAAACAAAACTGGTCTATCAAGCACCTGAATTTATTAAGTAATAATAATCTGCTTTCCCAATTTTCAAAACATCAGTGATATTGGGATGCCTGGGTGGCTCAGTCAGTTAAGCATCTGACTCTTGATCTCAGCTCAGGTCTTGATCTCAGGATTATGAGTTCAAGCCCTGCACTGGGTTCCACACTGGGTATGGAGCCTACTCAAATTAAAATAAAGAAATAAATAAAACATCAGTGATAGCTACTTGCCAGTCTGAACTTCTTTTATGATTACAACACAATTACTCAGTTGATGTAATTCCATGTCAAAGCAAAGAAATCTGGTGCTTGACTTAATTAACCTGGGCAATCTTTTATAGGTTAATAATAAAATCACTGCCATTAGGTTTTTTGAATCACTGAAAATAGCTTACAAATTCCTTTGCCAATTTTACCCCTGTTATGGCCACCATCACCAACTTCCTGAACTTACTGGCCGTAGGTCATAAAGTCAAATTCTTACAGAGGTCAAGCAGTTCAGTGGAATAGGCAAGTGGTAAAACAATAGGAAGTGGTGGGGACAGTGGCAAATGGAGAACACAACTTTGTCTAAAAAAGGGTTAATTGCTACCATTGGGCACAGATTTTCTGATTCTTTAAGAGAAGTCAGAACTCTGAATTAAAATGTGTAATTTTTGGGCAGCCCTGGTGGCTCAGCGGTTTAGCGCCGCCTTCAGCCCAAGGCCTAATCCTGGAGACCCAGGATTGAGTCCCACGTCGGGCTCCCTGCATGGAACCTGCTTCTCCCTCTGCCTGTGTCTCTGCCTCTCTCTCTTTCTGTGTCTCTCATGAATAAATAAGTAAAATCTTTTTAAAAAAATAAAATGTGTAATTTTCTTACTTAAAAAAATTTGGCGGGGAGTGCCTTGGGTGGTTCAGCCGATTAAGCATATGACTCTTGGTTTCTGCTCAGGTCATGATCTCACAGTTGTGGGATCAAGCCCTGCTTCGGGCTCTATGCTCAACATGGAGTCTGCTGTTCCTCTTCCTCTGCTCCTCCCCCGCTTGTGCTCCCTCTGTCTCTCTCAAATAAATAAATACAATTTAAAAAAAAATTTAAATTTAAATCCTGGATGTCTAGGAGTAGAAGAATCCTCTTACCCCAATACATGCTGATCTCTGTTAGTTAAGTTACAACCCAGCATTGTCTTGGGCTTTCATTATTTCGTGGAGATTTTTATGAAACCGCTCTTGTAATTTTCACTCCTATCCTCTTCTCCAAAGCTCAGGCATGACCATGAAGAAGTAAGCCAGAGGACAGTTAGTTATATTGTGCTGAGGACTTTACCTGCATTATTTGATCCTGTAAACAACCCTTACAAAATACTCATGGCTGTCCCAACTTTAATGGAGCTAACTAACTTATAGGGAGTGGCTAAGTTGGGATTCCTATTGGTCTGATCCAAAGCCTGGGGCCTGGAATAGGGGAGAGGATATCACAGAAGGGGCAAAGGTTGAATAATAAAGACAAACTTCACTTCTCTCATATGTCACCAAGAATGATGTCCAATCCTACTTCTAGTGACCTATAGAAAATTTATTTGAGTAAGTAAAGGGAATTTAAAACAAACTTAGTTCGGGAGCATCTTGAAGATGTTACAACACTCCTTGACATCATTCGAGATGTCTTGCGGTGTTGCAGTACTGGAGCTGAGAATTGCTGCCCTAAATATTTGCTCCTTCTTCTTCTGATTATAATCAATGAGTATTACTCTTTGCCAAAGGGTTTGCCTAGATAATTTCTTATCATTGCAACAATCCTAAAAGGTAGGCATTGGAATCCTCATTTTATAGATGAGGAAATTGAGGATTAGAGAAACAAAATAGCTTGTTCCAACTTGCACAATTAGAATAGGGTGGAGTTGGGATTCAGTGGCCTCACATTGACTTCACAGTCCACACTGCTTCTCTACACTGCACTGTCCTGGGGATAGGGGACAGGGATAAAGATACTGGAATGTGACTGAGAGCATCTTACTGACTGGGGGCTTGAGGGTCGTGGCAAAGATATTTATCATTAACTGAATATCCTTGTTCTTCTCACACTTCCCTGCCCGCTACTAGATAGTCCATATGACTAGTCCTACTCAAGGGGCTATGGGTAGAAATAACAGTGTCAGTTCTGGGCAAAGCAAAGCAGAATGGGTGCATGTTCTTTAGATTCTTTTTTCCCTGACATGGCAACTGTGGAGAGATGTTAGAGCATCTGCCAGCCTGGGATTCTGAGTAGCTATGTAGAACAGAGCTACCTGTTCACAGGTAAGTGAGAAATAGACCCTTGTATTAAAACCACTAGGCTTTAGGATTAATTTGCTACTGCAGCATAACTCAGCCTATCCTGACTAATGCAGGCATTTCATTATAATAAGAAATCAAGAGACAATTTAATCTAGTTTACTGAAATGATGCTTAATATCAGGCACAAGTTAATCATAATCCCCATTCCCTCCCATCAGAGACCCTGCATTATTTAAAATGCTGACAAGCCTGCAATGAAAATCACATTTTCCCCTTTGAATAAACTCACATCTTTAAAGAAGACAACACATCTTTAAAGAAATAGGGCATCCATAGTGTACCACAAACTCTTTAACACTCCGGAGATCTTTCTTCAAGAGCCTATCTCTGCAACACAAGGTGATTCCAGAGCAAACAACATAGAGCACGGGTAGTTCTCACTGACAGAATATGGGAAGACATGGAGGACACTACTGTGAATTCCCCGACACTTGAGTTCTCAGAGAATTATGCACATGTTAAGAAAAAAATTGTGGAGATCTGGCACCCCTGCCAACAGATTCCTATGGTAAAGTATTGCTGTGGAAATTCAGGAAATAGTTGTCTTGATTTCTTCAGACACTCT